AAAAAATACCATCAAGGAAAGAATGGGAAAATATATTCAAAGTGTTAACTGAAAAACAATTTCAATCAAGAATACTATACCCGGCAAGATTATCCTTCATATGGGAAGAAAAGATAAAAACATCCTCAGATAAACAAAACCTGAAAGAATTGATCAACACTAGACCAACTCTTCAGGAAGTTCTGAAAGGAGTGCTTTACCAGGAAAACTAAAGACACAACAGACAGAAATAAGAGAACAAAGAGCAACCAAGAAAATGCTAGGAACAAATCCGGAAATATCAATAATGAAGTTGAATGTTACAGGATTTAAATGGACATATTTGGACCACAGTAACACTGCAAATTCAACAGAAGAGAGATTAATTACACGAGACTGAACTGGTGACATGGAATTTTATGACTTTTGACTAAAACATTACTGATTTTTTTTTACTATGCTTTGTTTTCCAGATTTAAGGATTTTGCTTTCTTTTGAGTTGATGATAGGTTCAGCAACTTGTTAAAATGTTTTTTTGCTTTTTTTAAAAATTGAAATATAAACTTTTCTTCATTCTTGACCCCTCTGGAATTGGAAAATATTTGTGAGTATTCTTATTTTGTAATAGAAGGGTTATTGCATAAGTTCAAAAATACCTGTTGCCTTGCATCACAAATTGGAAATATTCATTATGGCCAGGGCATTGACTGGAATGTCATATGTAAAGGTATGACCAGAAAATTATGGAACTGAGCTGAATCTCAAGAAATCCTACAGAAGCTGTTTGTGAATTGTGTTCTGGGTGTTTGGTTCTCAACAGTTTGAGTAGTTAACATGTAAGTATATAACCATACTGTCTGTATGAGTTTTATAAAGTCACAAAATTTTAACAAATAGTTTGAAAATTATCTTTATAATTCAGGTTTTTGGAAAATTTGAAAGTTGTTTATTTATTTATTTATTTATTTATTTATTTATTTATATTTATTTTACATACTTTCACTGGACATCGCCACAATATACAAAATGCATTTTTCCAGCCAGATTTTTCCAGCCAGAATATACTGTAGAGTGGCTTAAACATACATGTTATCATCAATAAATAATTTTTCATTTCTTATTTCTTGTGTGTATACATACATACACACATTTCTTGTAATATCTATCTCTATCTCTATATCTATCTATCTATCTATTCCCCCTTATTTCTCACCCTCTGCCATTTCCCATCTTCTTTCTACCCTGTATCTGGTTTCTGCAAATTTTTTGATATGTAAAGTAAATGTCTGTGGGAAAATATAAATAAATAAAAGAAGAAAAAAGATTAAAAAAATGGATATAATAAATAAATAATTCTTTAAAAAACCCTTCTTATATCACTGACCATACTTGTTTTTTTCCATTCAGTTCCTTTATTTTCCTTTCTACTCCATTTCTTTCTTTTTTCTTTCTCTTTTTTATATTTATATTTTTTCATGATTATTCATACATTAAATCACTATACATCATTTAGATTTTGAAGAGACTATACCCAAATGACCATACTTTTTAAGTCTACCTTTTCACTAAGGGTATGGTATTGTAGAGAGCTGAATTTTTAAAAAATGATTTTAGTTTTTTCTCATGAAGACAAAAATTCTTGTCCCGTAGTTCTCATTTCTCCAGTCTAATTTATCCTTTTCCAGTTTAGGAATGTAGTAAGGATTAAAAAAGGGTTTTAACAAAATGGTCCAAAGCAAGACATTTCTTCATCTCAAGTCATTTCCTCCAAATGAGGGTGAGGAAGGCTTGAATGAAATGATCATTAAGATCCCTGACATTACTCTTGTTCCAAGATATTCCTTCTTTGTTTTGATCTTTTTTTTTTTTTTCATTTGGAATCTACATTAGGTGAAAGGGAGAAAAGGAAGAGCAAAATGCAAAAACCAAAGCAGTCTGATTTTTTAATCTGCAGCTGTAGCTGAGAGGTTCAGATTCTGCTGGCAAGCATCTTTCTCTGAGCTCCACTTTGTCCTTTGCTAGTGAGGACAGGAGAGCAAACCAAGTCATAGAGGCTAGGGGACAGTAAGTTGTGGCCCCCAGATTCCAACACAGATCTCTGTTCTTTCCATCATAGCATGCTGCTTTGGGCATGTGATTGATTTTTTTCCTATTGTCTGTTTTGAGGATGTTGAATAAGGCTCATCTATGTCTTTTAACAAATAAAAGCAGTGTCATATGTATGGGCAGTTCAGATTACTTATGCTTCTTGGATAATTGTTCCTAAATCATGAACTATTGTGAATCATCAAGTTCAAACAAGCTGGGCATCTCTAAACTGTGTAAAACACACTCCAATTATTGTATCAAAGTCTGTATTGGTAAGACCACAGCTGACAAGCTTTGTAATCAAATGTACAAATGGATTGTGGAAAACCTTCTCTAAGTAATGAACATCTCAACTCTGTGTTTGAAGCTCAGTGTGGGCATTACATTAAGAACACAGGTACTGTACATAGTAGGCACATCTGTGTGATCCTGGAAAGGCTCTGACAGCTTTCTAGTCAATGTAATTAAGATCCTCTCCATGGCCCTGATCTTACGTGACCACACCCCTATCCCAACCCCGCCATCTCTGCATTGACAGTTTTGACCATCAATTCCTTTTTGAAGCTCTCCTCCTGATCCTGTGGTGCCCTGAACTCATTCTCTCCATATTTTTCCTTACCATTTCTCCATTTCTCCATGATTTTTGTTCCTTCTCCTTATTTCTGATGGGGGATTCTTCAAAGTTCGTTGTTGCTCTTCTCTTAATATATTCCTGCCTTGACCCATTTATCTAACTCTCATACTTGCACTAAGACCTTATCCATCGTTATCATCCCTATAAATTTTAATCTTGCGAGTCCTTTCAGTTCTAGCTTGCCTGGACTGTTGTAATAATCTTCTTGCTCCCAGTCTTTTCTTTATATTTTTCTAAAATAGATAAATGTCAACTAAAACATTTCCATGAACAGATGAATGGATTGAAACAGTATGGAACATACACACTATAAAATACTACTCAACCATTAAAAAAAACAATGAGACCCTAGCATTTGATAGAAAGTAGACAAATATGGAAGGTTTACTGCTAAGTGAAGTAAGCCAGAGTATGGAAGAGAGGTATTGTATGTCCCCACTCAATATATACTGAATGTTGGCACTCTGTGACAGAAACTGAGTGATTGGAAGGTATAAAAGCATGGAGAGTAATGGTAATACTGAAGACAGTGTGGGAAGAGTGTGAGAAATGGGGGAGGGTGAGAGGAAGGAAATCAAATGGAAGAAGAAAGAAGCAAAACATTTAAGTAACCCAAAATGGAAAGCAGTCCATTGATTATAATGTATGTGGTAAAGTCTTTGACTGGACTGATAGGCATTGTATTCAAGATGAGAAAATTCATTTAGCATGCTGTAATGAATGATACACAGTGATAGAATGTAAAAAAAAATACTTAAAAGAGTTTTCATCACACTCCACTCAATGTAAGCACTCTAGAGCTTATATTGACTCTGCTCCTTCCAGGGATGTTCTGGCTCTTCAGCTCTGCCACTGAGGACCTCTACATGACCGTGACCTCTCCATACAGTTTTATTTCCCACCACTTCTTTTTATACATTTCCATTCCAAGCCAACTAGACTTAACCAGGAGGTCCCTTAGCCATGTGCTGAACTTTCCTGTGCCATTGCTGTATGTACGACATTCCCCCTACCTGCGGTTCCTAATTTTCGATTCTCTGATTCCTCATTCCAGCACAAATCCATTTCTGTGAACCTTCAATCCTGGAGGTGCTAGCTTTCCCAGTGTGTAAACCATTCACTAGTCACTTACTACCTCTTGCCTCAGATTATTTTTTCCTGGTTATCCCATCATTCATTCAACACACATCTGCTCAACAGTGTCTAATGTGCATTAGGTGCCTAGATCTAGGTAAAACTGAATTAGACTTTGCCCTTTCCTCAGGGAACTCAAGTAGTGAAATAAATAAGCACAGAAGTCATGATAATGCCATGATTAAGATAAAACTGGAGTTTATAGAGGAGGAAGAGACGGCCTGTCTAAGGAAGTTAGGGAAGGAGATAGGCTATTCATATCTAAGCAGCATGTTATCATGGGAAGAATGGAGGTGCTGGAATCTTGACTTTGTAACTTAGTATCTACTTTCTATGACTTGCTTTGCCCATCTGTAAGATGGGAATTATATCATTTGCCTTGAAGGGTTGAGGTGAGGAGTGAATAAAGTGTTCATGAAGTATGTATAGCACCACCTTGGACCTGTGCAGGTTCTCAACAACACAGGCTCTTTCCAACCATAGCACTGGTCCTGCCTTCCACTCTTCACAGTGCCTAGTATGCTGCTCTGGACAAACTGTGATTCTAGCGGATATTGATTATTTGGTTGATGGACATTATCATGAATATGGATGAAGCTCACTATATCAGGAAACAGGGCCACCAGGAACGAGGCTCTTTTACTGTTCCAGAAGAGATCTATTCCTCTTTCTGAGAACCATGGATTTGAAATTCTGCATTTGGAAATTTGTCCTAACAAAAGAAAAGATGCATAGGCAACAGCTATGCTTTTTTATTCTAGGAAAGGGAGACTTGCCAAAGAGTCAGGGCTCTCAAGCCAGGGAGCAGAGCAGCAAGGTTGTCCCTTGCCCTGCCCTACCCTCTAATGAAGGCCACAGCTTTCATGAGTTCAGCTCTTTGAAGCCACACCATGAAGCTCTTCATGACGCACAGCAGGGAAGAGGAGTCCTGACTTAGCGAGAAGCTCGAGTCAAGTCTTTTATGAGGCGAGAGACTCGTCTGAGGAAACAACACACAGAAGGGAAGGGCTTTTGACAATCACCAAATGAGGAAAAAAACAGGGCTCCCTTACATGTCCCATGTCCACACCCTTGGCAGAGGGGTATAAATGCTTCGCAGAGGAAGGAGGTGCACAGTTCTGCAGCTCGAAGAACGTAGGCTCTTTCTTCAGCCAGGCACCTCTCTCCTCCCAGCATCATGCTGTACAACTGCTGCCTTCCCAACCTGAGTTGCCGCACCAGCTGCTCCTCCAGGCCCTGTGTGCCCCCCCGCTGCCACAGCTGCACCCTGCCTGGGGCCTGCAACATTCCCGCCAACGTGAGCAACTGCAACTGGTTCTGTGAGGGCTCCTTCAATGGCAGCGAGAAGGAGACCATGCAGTTCCTGAATGACCGCCTGGCCAGCTACCTGGAGAAGGTGCGCCAGCTGGAGCGGGAGAACGCAGAGCTGGAGAGCCGCATCCGTGAGCGGTGCCAGCCTCAGGATCCCATTGTGTGTGCCAGCTACCAGTCCTACTTCCGGACCATCGAGGAGCTCCAGCAGAAGGTGAGAGGGTGGACACCATGCTACCTCTAGTAGGAGTTCTAGAGAGACGATCTGAAATAGGATTAAGAAGCAACATGAGTGCTTAGTGTGATTGAAACTTTGGAGTCTGGTCTTTCCACTTTTTCTTTCTTTCTTTCTTTCTTTCTTTCTTTCTTTCTTTCTTTCTTTCTTTCTTTCTTTCTTTCTTTCTTTCTCTTTCTT